GGAAAGTAAATTATGATTGTCATATAAACAATACTAAATCTTCTGGTGCCATGGAAGCTTCCGGTGCTATTCAAATTTTTGCACGTTCCATCAAAAAATATAATATAATTTATTCTCAATATTTAGGAGATGGAGATACTTCTTCTTTTAAAGAAGTTGTTGAATCTTATCCTTACAAAGAGAACGGAGTTAACATTGAGAAATTAGAGTGTATTGGGCATGTACAAAAGCGACTTGGTACTAGAGTTCGAAATTTAGTGAAAAACTTTAAAGGGACAAATACTCCAATACATGGTAAATGGAAACTTACAGATACTATTATTAATTCCATGCAAAACTACTACGGTCTTGCTATTCGGAGAAATTCTGATAATGTATACGCAATGAAGAAAGCAATAGGAGCCATTCTCTACCATTGCACCGCACTTAAAGATCCTGCGTGTCGCCATGCTATGTGTCCCAGAGATAAAAATTCTTGGTGTAAGTGGCAACTTGATCAAATAAATAGTACTAAGTTTCATAAAGATAAAATTAATTTACCAATATGGATTTATTTCAAGCTAAAACCAATTTTTCAAGATTTATCTGATGATAAACTGTTAACCAAATGCCTCCATGGACAAACACAAAATGCAAATGAAGCATTCAACGCAATAATATGGGCTTGCTGTCCTAAAAATGTATTCTTATCCAGAAGAACGTTTGAATTGGCAATAAATTCTGCAGTTCTTTATTTTAATATGGTGGGGAAGGAGTAAAATCTGTTTTAGAAAGTTTTGGAATTAAAGGACAAATAACTTCTAAGAAACTAATGGAAGCTGACAATAAGCGTGTTAAATATATGAAGCTCAAATCTTCTAATATGGTTATTAAACAGCGTAAAAAACTAAGAAAAGTTAAAAAAGGCATAGTGGATGTTGAGGTTTCAAATGAAAAACAAACTTTATATATACCTGGTGGTTTTTAAGCATTATTTTTGAAATACTTTATTAAAAGTCTCGTTTCCCAGGTTTAATAACTTTCAAGACATTCCACATTTCAAAACATGGTTTTTTAAAAATGGTATGGATTTATGAACTGAAATTTTCAGAGCATTTTTATAAGACATTGAGAAATCATTTCTCATAGGATTTTGCTATATAATGAGAAATTTTCTGATTTATATGAATTTTGGTACTTATTTGAGTGACTACATAAATAAACTCTGAAATATTTTGCATGATTTTAGAGTTATCGAGGCAAATCAAAAAATTCTATGACAAATGAAAATATTATATAACAAACAATTCTGCAAAATTTCAAAGCGGTAGAGTTAATATATAGTGAGATATTATGTTTTCAAATACACTCCATTGTTTGAAGTTTAACAAATTTATTTTTGGATAATCAAGGCAAAAAAAAAACTTTGAATGATTTTTTTTTTAATTTTTTGAAATTGAATTAGGTTTTACTAAAAAATATCAATAAATAGCTCGAACTCAAAAAATAAATTATTTCTAGGGTTACCACCTTAAATTTGTTTGAAAAAAAACAAGGAACGCTTAAGAGCATTATCTTACATGTGACCCATTCGTTTCGGAAGTTGATACTTAATCAAATGTTTATCCGGAAAGATTTATTTAATTTTGTTTAATGATACCAGTTACTAAAAGAGCATTTCCATCGAGTCTTTCCATAAAAGTCGATAAAAGTCTGATTAAAACTCTTAATTCAGACTCAAAAAAATTAAATAATTGTAAATATTTAAAATTATTTTTTACTATTATAACTTAAGTTGATAAAAAAAATATATTAAAAAATTGAGCAAAGAATAACCGTTTCAAGAATAAGTGAAACAAAAAGTTTTCATTTATATGCTAATATGACGTCAATACGCGTGTGTGAATAAGGAAGTATAACTTAGGTTAGTATGTTATTTATATTTGCTGTTTAATTTCGTTGTTGTTTAAAAATAAAAAAAGCTAAACAAAGCATGTTAAGTTAACTCTTATGGATACGGTCGAAACACATAAACCTCCATTATTGGAACAATCGAAAAAGAATATATCTTGTTTCAGTGAAGACTTAACGAGTCCAAATCTAACACTCATCAAAACCTAATTGTAGAGAGTTAGGAATTGACACTAAAAAAAATATTAGTACGCTGAAACTTTTGCCAACAACACTTAAAACAAATTAAAATTTGGCATAAAACATTTCTTTAAATATGTTTGAAAAAAAACAGAGAACGCTTATCCGCCTATAATGAATAGCCTATGAATATTATTAGTGCGCATAGTTACGCATTGTTACGCCTATTTTTCGTTTTGTTAATTACGGTTCTGCATTATGTAAAATACACTATTTCTTTGCCTCTAGAATTTTCTAAGCCCAGTTATATATTCCACGCGGTCATTCGAGTAAAATTAGCAATCAAATTGGAGCTGATACATTTATTTTCAAGAAGAATTATTGTTGTTTATTCTTTAAATTAAAAATTTAAATAATTGTTAGTTTGCTATGTATATATATATATGTATATCTATATGTATTTTCTCTTAGAAATAATAATTGAGAATAGAAAAATAAAAAAAATTTCTTCTGGAATTTGTCAAAAGGGTGTTGTGTTATTCTTCATTTTAAGGTATCTAAATATGTATTTATTTTTCATTTAGAATAAGTTAGAACTAAATTGACTGGTAAAATAGTTTTTTTAGGACAATGTTTCTTTTTTAAGAAAACAGTTTTGTCGTTAGTCTTTTTAAAACATTTTAAGCAGTATTTGTTTTATTTTTTAGAGCAGTTAAGAGGAGCTGATCGCTTTTTTAGTAAGTTCAAGTAATTTTCTCATACATAAATTAAGGTTTTCGATTTATTTCAGTCTATTTTATATTTCTCTATATCTACATATATATATATTCTCTTAGGAAAAATAATAAGGAATAAAAAAATTAAGAAAATTTCTTCTGGAATTTGTCAAAAGAGTGTTGTGTTATGCTTCATTTTAAGGTATCTAAATATGTATTTATTAGAAATTTTTTTAAACCATGATTAAAAAAGTTGTTAAACCAAGGAAACTGCAGAGGTTTATTTATCAATATATACTATAAATTATATAATAATATTGGAGGGAGTAAGTTAAAAAGCATTTTTAAATTTTTAAAAAGAATTAAAAATACTTTTTAATATATATCTGTTTTTTTTGAGGTAGATTTAAAGTTTCAGGTTTTCAAAATTGTAGATCTTTTTAATGTATAAATAGACATTAAGTATTTCTAAGTAGACATTACGTATATATAAAATCTTTTTAAAATTTAATAAGTAATTATTTGTTTAAATAAGTAGTTAATTGTTATAATTTATTAAGATTTAAATTATTAGAAAATTCATGTTTACAGAGTTGTTATTAATCATTATCGAGTTGTTGAACCAAATGAAATTGTAGAGGTTTATTTATTAAATATATACTATATATATTATATAAAAAAATTTGTTTTTCATATGTTTTTACTAATAAATAGTTATATATATATATATATATATATATATATATATATATATATATATATATATATATATATATGTATATATATATATATATATATATATATAACTATATATAACTATATATATATCCTTGGAGTTGCGGCAGCATAATAGTGTGTTAGGAGAAAAAAATTTATAAACCCATGTTAATAACCTGTTTTCTATCGTACATAATGCATTAATAATGCATTAATAATGCATTAATAAGTTTTATTACGTGTTTTGTTCAATGTTTTCTCCCAACGCATGAACTATGACGCTGTCGCGATTTTTTTTTTTTTCTTTTTTATTAGAAATAAAATAAGTTTTAATAAGTTTTTGCTGATGTGGTTGCAGGTTTTTCTTAACTTCTATCAAATAAACTTAAGAAACCTGTATTCCTTTTGATGATGGCAAATTAATTTTATTTTGCATTTGTTTGGTTTCTTTATATATATTTGTTTTGAAAAATTTTTTTTTTAATTTTTCGAGCATGATTTTTTTAGTTATTAAGTTTTTTTATTTTATTGTTAACTTTAGATTAGTAAAAAAAAATAAATAATTAGTGTTGCTTTGATAAATATGTTTAATGAAAATGATGACATTGAAATGGATGATAGGCTAGATGTAGTTTTGTATTTACAAGATGATGTAAGTGCTATAAGGCGTGTTGAAAATAATTGTAGACGAAATGAAAGAAATAGACTTAGGCGAGATGAAATTAATGGTTTCCAAATGAAAGAAATAGGCTCGATCGAGATAATGTTAATCGTCGCCAAAATAAAAGAAATAGGCTCGATCGAGATAATGTTAATCATCGCCAAAATGAAAGAAATAGGCTCTATCGAGATAATGTTAATCGTCGCCAAAATGAAAGAAGAGCTGTTGGACAAGGACGAATGTATTCTATAGCGAGAAGTAATGCTATTCCAGATTATAACCATTTAGGAGAAATGAATCAAATTTGTCAGCACTGTGGTGCTAAGAAATTTCCAGATGAAACACATTTTCTATGTTGCCATAATGGTATGGTAGCTTTGCCTCCACTTTCACCAATTACACAAGCTTTACAGGATTTGTTTACAGGGAGTTATGTAGATTGTAATGCTAATGCTAATTTTTTAAAACATATTCGAAATTATAATGCCTGCCTTTCTTTTGCTTCTTTAACAGCAAATGTAGTTCAACCAATGAATCATGGGCTTCCATGTTTTAAAATATGTGGCCAGATTTTTTATCGTGTATGTAATCTTAGGCCAGATCAAGATATTCTACCAATATATTCTCAACTATATATTTATGATCCACTTGCTGCACTAAATTTAAGAATGCAAAACTATGCTAACGATCTTTGTTTACGTGATTTAATGTTTTAATTGCAAACTATAATTATGGAACAAAGTCCATTTGCTCTTGCATTTAAAAACATGGCTGAAGTAGAAGATGAAGAAATTCGTAAGGCGGCTATAGAAGGTCGCTAAGCTTCTGTTGTAAAAATGTCTTTACTTGAAGGCGGTGATAGACGTCGTTATAATCTACCTTCACATGATGAAGTTGCAGTTGTATTTGTTGGCGAAGATGGTGCTCCCCTAACTTCCAGGGAAGTTGTTATTTACCCAAGAGGTCATCCTTTAAAAATTGTATCAAGTATGTCAGCCAACTTGGACCCTATGGTTTATCCGCTTTTTTTTCCAAGAGGTGATGCTGGTTGGCATAATCAATTGGTGCATAACCCTGAGCGTGCCACACTGGTTAGAAATCATTTTACATTATCTCAGTTCTACAATTATAGACTTTCTGTTAGGCAATTTTTCTGTTCATTATTTTATGGCAAGAAACTATTTCAGCAATATGCTGTAGATGCATATGTAAAAATTGAAGGCCAGCGTCTTGCTTTTATCAGAAATAATCAAAATAAGCTGAGAAGCGAGCAGTACGATGCCTTACATGGACATATTAACAACATTGCTAATGATCGTAATATTAGACCAGGACGAGTAGTAGTTTTGCCATCATCTTATGTAGGAAGTCCAAGAGCTTTAAAAGAAAACTTCGAAGATGCTATAGCAATTATTAAAAAGTATGGTAAACCAGATCTTTTTATAACTTTTACTTGCAACCCCAAATGGCGTGAAATAACAGAAAATTTATATCCGGGTCAGAATGCGAATGATAGACCTGATTTGGTTACTCGAGTATTTAAACTCAAGTTAAATAACCTCCTCAATGATATATTCAAACATGGTGTATTAGGCAAAGTTATAACGCATGTTCAGGTTATTGAGTTTCAAAAGCGTGGTTTGCCGCATGCCCACATTTTACTTCATTTAGCAAATGATGATAAACTTGAAACATCACAGGATATCGATGATTTGATTTGTGCAGAAATTCCAGATCCGATAGTTAATTGTGAACTTTATGATATTATTAAAACTTGCATGATTTACGGCCCATGTGGAATACTGAATCCAAATTCTCCCTGCATGAAAGATGGGGTGTGCAGCAAAAATTATCCTAAAGATTTTAATGCCAACACAGTAGCTGTTCACAATGGTTATCCGCGCTATAGGCGTCGTGATAATGGGTTGGTTAACAATATTAAAGGCGGCAATGTAGATAACCGTTGGGTGGTACCTTATAATCCTTGGTTATCAAAGAAATTAATGTTGAAGCTTGCATGTCTGTAAAGGCTGTTAAATATTTGCATAAATACATATACAAAGGGCATGATTGTGCGAATGTTTTGATAAATGAACAGGTTAATCACGATGAAATAAACACTTTCTTAGATTGTCGTTATGTTAGTGCACCTGAGGCACTGTGGCGAATATTTGAGTATCCCATAAGTCATATGTCACACTCTATTATCTGTCTTAAGGTTCATCTTCCTGAGAATCAGGTTGTGTATTTTAGAGAAGGAGAAGAACAAGTGGCGTTAGATCGTGCTGCTCAACGTGATACACACCTTACTGCCTGTTTTAGATTGAATTCTGAAAATGAAGGAGTCAATCGCTACTCATATGTTGACATATCACTTTGTATTTGATGATAAACATTGTAATGGAAGGTTAGACAAAGAGGTGGAAATAAGGTGATAATAAGAATGTATAAAGTTAGTCCAACAGGAGAATTATTTTTTCTTAGATTGTTACTTTTACAAGCAAAAGGAGCAAAATCTTGGGAGGATTTGCGTACTGTTAATGGAATAGTTCTTGAAACCTTTCGTGAAACGTGTGTTTTTAATGGTTTGTTGCAAGATGACACTGAATGGCAGAATACTCTTTTTTTAACGCGAATGCCTAAGCAAATCAGGCAGCTGTTTTCCATTATTTTAACGTTTTGTGAACCTGATGACCCTTTACATCTTTGGAATTCATACTAAGCTATTATGATGGAGGATTTCATTCATCGCCAAGTTCCATTTATATTAGCTGAACAAGCTACTCTTCTTCAAATCGAAAAGATTATTAATCAAAGTGGTAAAACGCTATCTGATTATAATTTGCCTGTTTTTGATGACTTCATAGATTTTAATCTAGAAAATTTAAATGATAATGTTCAGCAATCAATTGACGAAGCTAATAGAATGAGACCGCTTCTTAATGTCAATCAATTAAATGTAAGTAATGCTGTCCTTGCTGCATTGAACGAGCAACCATGTGTAGAAAATCAACATTCCAGATTGTTTTTTATGGATGGACCAGCCGGTAGTGGCAAAACTTTTACATATAATTATTTGTTTGCTGAAATGAGCAGTAGGGGTGTTAAATCTGCTACAGCTGCATGGACTGGCATAGCAACAACTCTTTTTACAAATGGATCTACGCTGCACGGGTTATTTAAACTTCCTGTCCCAATACTGGATAACAGCACATGTAATGTGACTGCTAACTCTATTCAGGGACAATTTTTAAAGCAAGTTTGTTTGTTAATGCTTGACGAGACATCCATGATTACCAAACACGCTTTAAATGCAATCGATCGGTTGTTAAAAGATGTTTGCAACAACAACTTTCCATTTGGAGGAAAAGTCATTCTTTTTTGTGGTGACTTTAGGCAAATTTTGCCTGTTGTGAAAAGAGGGAGACCAGCTGAAGTTGTAGAATCATGTATAAAATGTTCTTTTACAGTGGCAATGGGTGCAGAAGTTTACATTAACTGAAAATATGAGAGTAGGTGATGGAGAAGGAGATTTTTCCGAATGGCTGTTAAAACTTGGTAGTGGAACAATACCTGGCAAGGAGGAAGATCCTTTTAAGGGATGTATTGAAATACCGCAACAGTGCATTATTAGAGAAAACGAATCAATTGTTGAAAAAATATTTGGAGATGCTCAACAAGATGATTATGCTAAACGTGTCATTTTAGCGCCCACTAATGGGGATTCATTGTCAATCAATGAAGAAGTGCTTGAACGTCTACATGGAGAGGCCAAAACTTATTTAAGTGCTGATCAAATAGACACTGACGATCTTAATGAAATAAATAATTTCCCTGTTGAGTTTTTGAACAGCTTAACTCCTTCAGATATGCCTACTCATTGTTTAAAATTGAAAATTGGTTGTGTAATTATGCTACTTAGAAATATAGATCTTAAAGCTGGGCTATGTAATGGAACCCGAATGAAAGTTTGTGCTCTCCAAAACAATTATATTGATGCAGAGGTTTTGAAAGGTGTTTCTGAAGGTAAACGGGTGTTTGTTCTTCGAATTCAGTTGGCTCCATCAGATTCTAATTTACCTTTTGTTCTAAAACGTCGTCAGTTTCCTGTCAGATTAGCTTATTCGATGACAATCAATAAAAGTCAAGGTCAAACATTTGATAGAGTTGGGGTATATCTAAAAAAACCGTGTTTCTCCCATGGTCAAATATAAGTTGCATGTTCAAGAACTAGAGCATTTAATAGTTTGTTTTTCAAAATTGATAAACATCCTATTCAAGGTATGGTAGGTGAAAAATACAAATAATGTTATATTTTCTAATATTCTTAATTTATAGTCTTAATATTTTCATTTCTAAAATTTACTGTTTGTAGGTTGTGAGCAAATTTTGTATGTGTTTTTAACTTTAAAATTTTTACTTTTTTCATAGTTTTTGATAAACATATTTGTCATTTAATATTGTTATATATTGTGTTTATATGTGTTATATGAAGTCATATTTGTTTATAGTTGTATATATGTTTACATTATGTTGTTTCCATGTTTTCAAAGTGGTGTGACTTGGCAAAATGTTAAGCAAGATTGTTAACCTTGCCAGCCAAGCGGTGTACTTATAGCAGAGGTGTGACTTGGCACCATTTTGTGCAAGGCGGTGTTACCGCTTTAGAGCTAGGTTGTGTTGTCTAGCTTTTTTTAATTATTCTGGAAACACATAATGTCTGGTAATGTTTTGTGTAATGTGTATAAAAGAGTATGCAACCTTGATCCTTAATATTAAAAATAATTGAATAACTAATATTGAATATAAAAGCAAATATACTATATTAAAGTTTAGTAAAAGGATAAATATAGATAACTCAAAATTGGTTTTTTAGTTTTGCCTTCCATATTCTTTTAAAATTGGTTTGTTATTTTCCACTGGATTTTAGAGTCAAGGGTGTAAATATTAGTTATATAGGTGTGAATATGTGTTAATGTTATGTGTTATTGTTATAATGTTGTAATGTATTGTTATAATATATAATATTGTTATATTGTTGTGATGTTTTGTGTTGATAGACAGCTTGGCTTACCTTCCCGTTGGTGTCTATCGTTAAAAATGAATAATAGATAGTTTCATTATTGGAACTTGCTGCTTTTATTCATTTACTGACGGCCAAGACAAAATCTTGCTAAAAATTCAATTTATGTCTTTATTTGATTTTTTTTTCTTTAGTATTGTTAATCCTTTAGTACTTCGAAAAAGATTTCATAGCTACTTTTTTCTATAAATGTTTATATTAACTGCAATATCAAAAGGTTACAAAAACAGGTAAATCGGTTTTCAGTGTTTATATGTGGTGTATATATATATATATATATATATATATATATATATATATATATATATATATATATATATATATATATATATGATGTTATAATTCCGTTACTTTTTTTATTTAAGATTTTACCATATGACGCATTATTACAATATTAAAAAAAAAACTTGATTTCCTAAATTTGTAAAATTTTGTTCGTTTGTTAAAAAGATATAAAGACATTAATATATATATTTTTTTCCGATGTTTTCCCTATCTTATGCTTTAATAATTCGTTGTTAAAAATACAGGGAATCTTGCAGTTTGTCAAATATTAAGTTGACTATTTTTAGTCTGCAATTGCAACAACTTTTGAGGAAAGAAAAAATTCTTATATATGTAAATCGTTGTTTTACGCTTTATTATTTTGGTAAAAGGTCTTCATCATAAATAGATTACTCTTAATAAAAAAAACTCTACTCACATGGCTACCATTAAAACAAAAAAAGGGGAGGGGCTCTTAATTAGCGGAGATGTCAAAATATTGACGAAACCGAAACTTCGAGTAATAAAAGGAATATTTAGTAAATGGCAACAAATTACTTTAACGTTTGCAAAAAATTATTGAAATAAAGAGGCCATCTATTCAATATAGAAATAATCAGAGTTTAGAAGGCTTAACATGACCGGGTCCGGTTAGCTTTGTTTGCAAACATGAGATTATGTCACGTTAACAACCTCAAAAGTCAATTTAAAACATGTTTAGTAGCAAAATGTGATATATACAAGTATAAATGTGATAGTATAGTAATACTCTTTTAGAATTTTTTAGCTAATAAAATGGATTTATGACTAGATAGATTTTGTTTCCTGTTAAACCGCAGTAAATAAAAATTAGAAGGCTATTTGGCCCCGACAGAATATGCGACAAGTTTGTATTAAACTCATTTACACAAAAATGGAATTAAGACAAGTTAGCTCCTAAAATTATCTATATGTACAGATATGTTTATTGCACTTATCAGTAAATAAACTGATTAGTTGCGTAATGAGTTTAAATTTTAGCCATTTTTTAAAGTTGATAATCATAACGTACTTAATTAAACATGCGTGATGTAATTTGCATAGCTAAATTAAATGCTCTTTTACTTTAGTTACTGCGCTAAGTGTTGCGCAGTTTGGTTTGTGCGCAGTTTTTCTTCTGTTCTGGAATTTTGAGATTAAAATTTCCAGACTTATTTTGGAATTTTGAGACTGAAATTTTTTTTACATCTAATCGTACCTATCAAGTACAGTACTGGAAAAATTATTATGGATTTTTAAAATACATCGTTATTTCGGACTTAAGGCATTACTAAAACACAATTTGTTCATTAGTTCATAACCAAAAATGATTTATTTACACGTATTACACATTTTTATACATTTTAATACTTTGTTTGGCCACCTTTCGCAAGAATTAAAGCTTTTACACGATGTGGCATGCTCTCAATCAAACTTTTACACAAAAATTTAATTTTTGTAGAGTGAAACCACACGTGTATTAACCTTTCTATCAGTTGGCTTTTTGTTGTTATGGGTATTTGGTGGATTTCATTTTTTAGTATATCCCATAGATTCTCTATGGGATTCATGTCGGGCGAGTTTCCTGGCCAAGGAAGAACCTGGACAGCATTTTGTTGGAACCAAGTCATAACTTTTTTGGATTTGTGGCAAGGTGCAGAGTCTTGCTGGAAAATCCAGAAGTCTGACCCATACCATTCCCTAATTTGTGGCACTAGTCGAGATTCTAGCACCTTAATGTACTTGTCCTGGTTCATTGTGCCATCCACGATGTACAATCGACTGGTTCCATGGACCGAAAATGCCCCCCATACCATTATTTTTTGAGGAAATTTCACAGTCTTCTTCAAACATTCTGGCAAAAATTCTTCCCCGGGTCGTCGACGTACGGTTTGGACCCTATCATCCAAAATTGCGATAGTCGACTCATCAGAAAACACAACCTGAAACAAAATTAACTGCTAGAGAAAGTAGAGAGAGAGTGCCTTACCTCTAAGTTAAAATTTGAAAATTATTGTTTA